CCTCCTCTCAAAACCTTCCCAGGTCTTTCATGACTGGTTTAGAGATGCACAAGAAGCCTTCTACACTTGTATCTTTAGGTAGACTAGTAGGTCACTTCCCCTTTCCCTTCCAAATTTCCCTTTTTGATGGACAGATCCCCTCCTGATTTCCCTTAACCTATTTTGCATTTCTGTAATTTCATTGAATTCTTGTAGGCTTAACTGATGTGACATTTTTCCCAATGCCAATGAGAATTGAACAAATTAGCACTTTTTCTCATGAAGAAATATGAAAAATGCATTCTGGGCACTACAATTCATCATGCCTCATTGCAATAAAACAAAGTTGCTGCAGAACAAATTTTTTTAGGATTTTTTGTCCCCGCATACAGCACTTTAAAGGTCTGAAATGCTAGCCTTTAAAAAAAAAAAACTTTTAATTTTTATTAATACCTTAAATCATTCAGCCTGTAGCCCAGAACTTCTAGGTTGAGCTGTCTGTTTGCATCATATTCTCATGGCATCAGACCAAATTCTGATGTAATTTAGATGAGTATAATTTTGAAGTCATATCAATGACTTTCTCCACTTAACCATGTATACACGTAATATCTCTTGATGCATGAACAGCACGTGTCCCCAGCAGCTGGGGGGGCATGGCTGCGCTGCCGGCAGCAGGAGCCTGGTGGCAGTGAGCAGGGAGCTCCTACAGACGCTTCCAGCACCGTCGGCAGCGGCGGGGGAGGGGGAGTGAGCACCAACCACGATCAACGACCACCTGCAGGCACTGCAGATAGGGGCAAACATAGACTGCCCGCAGATGCCACCAGTGGTGCCAGCAGTGGGGTGGTGAGCAGTGACCACCCGCAGGTTCTGCCAAGTGTCGGCAGTGCCTTTTTGCAGGGTGTGCACCACCATGCACAGGGGGTGTGCTTGCACCCACATGTACCCCCTACACATCACCTCTGTATTGATGCCTAAATTTTTGGCTGGTAAAATCCCCAAGGCAAGTAGGTCCCCATGTATCCTAGTGCCTCCTATTGGTTCATTCAGGCAACTCCTCACTAGATTTTGTAAATCCTACTCTTAAGGATCTGACGGTCCTTAGGCAGTACTTATAGGTGCTGAGGAGTCTAACTCAGCATAGCCATCTCCATCTGACAACACGGCACCAATTTTGTAGTTGCTGAGATCTGCTTGTTGACCTAGGCCATTGTGTTCTCACTAGGTTTGCCCCTACCTCCACACCAATTTGTTTTCTCTCAGTTTCCTATCAGCTTATTCAACTTATTCTCAGCTTGCCTGTCCTCAAGCAATTAACCAACGAGATATAGCAGGCCATGCAGGGGCTGGAAAATGATGCAGGAGATCAAAATGTGGAAAGTGTGTATGTTAATCTGAGGGGTAAATGTTGTAGCCGTGTTGACCTAAAAAGCAAAAGTAGTCAGTGTGGTAGAGACAATATCTTTTATTAGACCAACTAAATAGGTGCAAAAGAAAATTCTTTATTTGCAAGATTTTGGGCTCACATGTAGAGCTGTGCGAAACAGGCCCTATTCAATTCAGAGTCGGTCCGAATTGGGGACAGTGATTCAATCCGTTGATTTGGATCACTGCCCCGATTCGATTTGGCTGAATCCAAATCTGAAGCTTTGATGCTAATTTGATGAATCAGCGATTTGGACACAGGTAGAGCTTTAAAAGTCTTTTTCTACATACCTTGAGGTAAGCTCATGACCACTGTGGTGATGCGGTGGATGGAGCATCCCACAGGAGCACAGGGGGCTCTCCAGCATGCTCAGCAGCGAACCCAGAAGTAGACCGGAAGTATTTCCAGTCCGCTAACGGTTCTGCCAGGGAGTGCACAGCCCCTCCCCCCCCAACCGTGCCCCCCGGCTCAGCGATCGGCCACAGGGGGACCCTGGGTGCACCCCCAGACCCAGGAGGCACCAGTTGCCAAGCCAGGGGGACGTGGGGAGGCCCCCTGCTGAGCACTCCCCGGTGGTCCAGGAAGCGGACAGGAAGTGTTTCTGGTCCACTTCCGGGTCTGCTGCCGAGCATGCTTGGGAGCCCCCCATGCTCCTGTGGGACACTGCATCTGCCCCAGCACCGCAGTATTCGGAGCCTCTGCTACCTAGAGTTATGTAGAAAAAACATTTAAAGCTGTGTCTGTGTCCAAATCACCAAATCTATCCGAATCTCTCCGAATCGATTCGGAGGGTTCCAAATCAGTTCAGAGAAATTAAAGGGTCCTCTGATTCAATTTGGAGTCAGAGATTTGGCCACCAAATTGAGCCGAATCTCCACTGCATTGAATCAGGGACCGAAGCTTCACACAACCCTACTCACATGTCCTTCCTCAGGCAAAGGGGACTACAAAGATTGTAAAAATTTTCCCATGTAGAAATGAAGGTGAATATTGCACAGGAGAGCTGGAGCATCGTGTAAGTTCTCCTGGCCAGAAAAGTTCATTTTATGCAAATTAGGCTCAGATAAAAGTTGGAGCAGTCTATTTACCTCAAAGGTGTCTGATAGAAAGCATAGTGTTGAATTATGCTTCTTTCTTGTTAAGATGGCTCATATTTCACAGGAGTACTGGTGATGGAAAGGTTCTCCTGAGCAAGGCTCTTGTGTTCAGGCTGCAAGTATGCACACTTAGCTTGAAACAAAGGGCTGCAGAAGGGGTGTTAGCTTCCATGTGTCAGGGTGTTGAATTTTGCTTCCTTCTTGTAAAATTATGAAGTTTTCATTTCAAAATGGCTAATTACAATACCTTCCATGTTTCAGGGATAAAGGTTGTGGTCGTGTTGGTCTAAAAAGCAAAAGCAGGCAGTGGTAGAGGCAGTATCTTTTATTAGACCAACTAGATAGTTGCAAAAGAAGCATAATTCAACACCCTGCTTGCCATCAGACACCTTTGAGGTAAACAGACTGCTCCGACTTTTATCTGAACCTAATTTGCATAAAATGAACATTTCCAGCCAGGAGAACTTATACCACCCTCCAGCTCTTCTGTGCAATGTGAAGTTTCATTTCTACCTGGGAAAAAATGTTAGAATCTTTGCATTCTCCTTTGCTTGACGAAGGGTGTGTGAGCCTTAAAGCTTGCAAATAAAGATATTTTTTTACACCTATTACTTGGTCTAATAAAAGATACCACCTCTACTACACTGACTGCTTACATTAATCTGATGGATGTGGCACAGGAAAAGACATGTTAGGATGTCAGTGTCTCTTCTTAATGGAAGCCCTTTGGCCTGAAGGCCTGAGGGTCTAGAAGAACAGCTTTCAAACTAGGGGTCACAAACTATTGGTAAATTCCAAGCCACCATAAATGGGAGTCACAACAAAAAATGATAGGGAGCTGCTTCTCTAGAAAGTATTCAGTTCACTATTGACACTTACTGTAGAACAGGGGAAAAGCAGATCAGTGCCACTGTTTCAGAGTGCCAGAAAAACACAGGCCCCAGAGGTAGGAAACTGTGCTGGCATCTGCTAGTGGGCAAGGAGAAATACATGAATGGGCCAGACCTTATTTCCATTTCATTGGTATAAAATGGGGCGGGGAGCATTTTTGTTAAAATGTGGTTAATCTTTGTGTGGCAGAGCACTGTAGGTGCCTGCCACTTTAAGGGCCTGAAGCTAGCAGCTGGCAGGTGCCTGATGAGGGCAGCCATTTTGGATCTAAGGCTGCCCATATAAACAGAGCATTTTTGCTGCTGAAGAAGGGGCAGGCAACAACACTGCCTGGCTGCAGGTATCAACTGGAGGTAAGGGAGGAGCTGTAGGGGATGGTCAGGAGGCTCCTGGTCCTGGGCATGACCTAAAACTGCACCCTGCCAGGAGTGGGTGGCCTGGTGGGGCTCCCAGTGGTGCGGGAGCCCCCAGGAAATGCCAGGCCAGTTACCACCCCGGTGAAAGGCAGGTAGGGGCGCCTTAACCCCTAGCCCTCACCTTCGGGTGGGTTTGCGTACCATCGGAGATAGTTGGGGCCAGGCATGGCTGAGGCTGTCTAAGCCCTGTGGAGGTGTGAGACCCCAAGAGGGAAAGTTGGGGCCAGGCACAGCTGTGGCCACCTGAGCCCTGCGGGGGTTCAAGACCGTGAGAGGGAAAGTTGGGGATAGGCATGGCTACAGCCACCTGAGCCCACCAGGGAGCAAACCCCCATGGCCCTGAGTGAGGGGGCGGTCTGGAGCCCCAAGTGAGGGGGGCGGAAATTAGGACCCCAGTGAGGGGGTAGCCCCAGCAAAGCGGGCCAAGATCTGTAGCCCCAAGTGAGGGGGCAGAGTTGTGGAGCCCCAGTGAGGGGGTAGCCCCAAGTAAGGGGCGGAGATCTGGAGCCCCGAGTGAGGGGGGCAATGTGGAGCCCTAAGCAAGGGGAGTAGGCCCAGGTAAGTCTTCGGACACCTGAGGCTGAGGTTTGGGC